TCTCTATGAATTTTTTCTTTTTACTTATTTATTTTTTAAAGAAACGGGGTCTTGCTGTGTTGCCCAGACTGGTCTAAAACTCCTGACCTCAAGCTATCCCATCTTAGCCTCCCAAAGTTCTAGGATTACTGGCATGAGCCACTACACCTGTCCCTACATTTTTTTTCTTAACTATTTTTATTTAGTTTTAATAAATAGATAAAAGGTTTAATAGGATATTTCCAGTTTCTGGCAATTTTTACTTTTATTCAAGATGTTTTTATAGCAGTATTGATCTTTATGTTCAATATCTTGACAAGTTGCTAATAATAAACTTGTCGAGCTGGTTTTTAAAACGTAAATAGAAAAATGAAGGTAGGTATTGAAAATGTTTCTGCTCTTTCCCTTGGAGAAGCCATCCTTTAAGCTGTGTACTTTTCATAATCTCAAATTCTGAGGTCTTCAACATCATGAAAAGGGTCTTGCAGCAACAGTTAGAGGTCATTTGTAATGATGTTCAAATTGCTGTTTTGAGTGAGCCTGTGCCAGAGGATGATCACTAACTATGGTTGATTAGATTCAGTGGGTCCTGTGCTTTTTTAGAGGCTCTTTACCCAAGTGTTTGATTCTTCCTGGCTATTTGAACCTAGTGTCATGCATTTTCAGTCTTTATTATATTTGTCACACAATGGCAAGAAAATGATTGAAAAATCAATATGATAAAAATCTCTTCTCATTTAGGAAAAGTCCTGAAAATATTAGTCATTCAGAGCAACTCAAGGAAAAAGAGAAGCAAGGATTTTTCAGGTCAATGAAAAAGAAAAAGAAGAAATCTCAAACAGTAAGTAGATAGCCAATTTCTATATATAATGGCATATGTTTCTGTATTATTCAATGAATACTTTACACTTTGCACTTGACAATTAAAGTTGATTGTTTTCTTATTGAGACTTGACATTTATGCACTGTATTATGTCTCTTTCTGAAATTCTATACAACTATCCTCTCAACAGAGCCTTTTCTACATTCAGCGGAATCTCCGGGAATAAAAGAAATTTAATTTGGATGAGAGAAAACGCTTTAAGCTTTTCTCAATATACTTCTTATCCATGTGGGTTTATATTCATGTAAAAACTTTGAAGACACAGGATTTATTTCTCTCTGGGGGCTTAAAGATATGTGAAAACTTAGGAAATGGGTTTTGGTTTACTTTTAAATCTTGAAATTCATAAATAACCATCATTCCTTATTCTCCCCTGGCTCGTTGTAGAATTCCCACGTTGACAGGTGTGTTTCTGAATTGTATAGTCACAAAGATCGTATCTGGGATTTTAGGGCTTGCTTTAGAAGGAAAACATGTTTGCCTTTTGATCACGCTGTGGGACGGAATGCACCTTATCTCCTGGGAGCCCTCTGCCTGAACAAAGGGCTGGCTCTGTAGGACCGTTCACATCACTTCACTGAACCACCCAAGCAAGGATCTTGCTGGTTAGTGACGTGAGAACCTTGGGGAAACCCGGCCTCTAGGACAGCAGCAGAAGCAGTTCTTCCCCTTGATGAGGCTGCATCCCCCTTTGCTTTATGACAACTTCAAGGCTAAACAAGGTGGAGTTAGCCATTTTTTTAAATTTATTTTAGAGACAAGGTCTCACTCTGTTGCCCAGGCTGGAGTGCAATTCGTGATCTTGGCTCCCTGCAACCCCCACCTCCTGGGCTGAAGTGATCTCCCACCTCAGCCTCTCAAATAACTGGGCGCACGCCACCCCACTCAGCTAATATTTTCGTATTTCTTGAAGAGACAGGGTTTCACCACGTTGCCCAGGCTGGTCTCGAATCCCTGAGCTCAAGCAGTCAGCCCACTTAGGCCTCTCAAAGTGCTAGGACTACAGGTGTGAGCCACTGTGTCTGGCCTAGTCAGCCATTTTAAGTGGTTTGGTTCTAGTTTTACTTCATACATAATTTATTCTCTTTTATTTGAAGAGGAAAAAGATGTATTCAAAATGGCCTGTTCAGATGGATTTCATCTGTAAGTTCAGTAGACTAGACAATGTTTCTGAGGCCCTTTCTATTATGAACATTATAGGATTATGACTCAATGGGAAGTAGATTAGATAGATGCTCACAGCAATGTGTATAAATAACCTGAATTAAGCATTTTTATCTCACAGATGTTGTAGAAATGTTAACAAATACCTTCCTAGATTATCTTTCTAGATTATTCTTTCTCTTGCTTGCTCGTTAAATTTATGTATTTCTTTATAAAATAAATGAGTTCGTTATAGAAAATTTGAGAAAAAGAGCGTTTTAAATCTTAATACCCTATCACAACTAGTATTAGGATTTTGGTATATTTCCCCCTAGTTGTTTAGCCTATGCGTGTGTTTGTGGAAAGGAGGTGTGGGGTTTTTTTGTTTTTTTTTTTTTTGGCTTTTGTTT